TACGTATATATATATATATATATAAGGTTAAGAATCCAAAATTTATATAACAAAGAGCTATACCCAAAAGTTATAATCTTTTTGGATTTCTATTTTCTTAAAGAAACTTATCATATCAATCCTAATCCGACATAATATAGGATTACCTTATGTGGGTGAGTTTGGATATCATTGTATCCAATAATCTCCACCTTGACATCAAAATCACTTGCTCATCATGTCAACATCCATTGGATAACTTTATAAATTCTTTATCTTTTACTAAATAAATTCTTTCATCATTCTTGTTAGAAAGATTGTGTTTGTCATTATATTTCCCCACCTCAAATAAAACATTGTTTGTCATTATATTTCCCCACCTCAAATAAAACATTCGTATACTTTCCATGTGCTTTTTTCAACCGAATGCACAAACATTAGCCATGTACTGAACCATGTGTTCTGATACCACTTGTTAGGATTTAATAGCCCTCATAGATGCAGAAATAGGAATCTCAAAAGTTGGATCCCACTAGGAACGTGTATTTATCCAGTTAAAAACAAAATAGGTGAGAGTCCAAGCCATAATACGATATGTAAAACATAAAGCATACACACCGCAATAGTACAAAGATTTATGTGGTTTACCCCAAAAGGACCTACATCCATGGGCAGCAAATTGAAATTCACTATACTAATGAAAGTTAAATCATAGATTTTGTGACATAGAGGTGCCTCTTTGACCCTAAAAAAAACCTAGTCGAGAAAATTCTTTTAGACCCACTCTCTCTATCGGTACAACCCGCCGATCTCTCATCTCTATTCTACAACTAAACTATTATCCAAGAAGAAACCCATCTCTATTCCACAACAAAACCACTATCCAAGAAAAGAACGGTGAAAACAACCATGACTTTATCTTATTAAAAGGGGAAACCAACAAAAATCTCCATGAAAACTGCTTCTCTACAAGAATCCAACCTCTCAATCCACAAGAGACACTATCGCAATGTTTCTCTCTAT